ACTCACCAATCTGCCTAAAAGAGAGTTCAAAATAAAAATCATAAACATGCTTATGGAGGTACAGAAAAATATTCAAGAACTCAGGAACTAATTTAAGTTGGAGATTCAATCATTAAGAAATTCCATATCTGAAATGAAACATACAATGGAAGGATTTAAAAGCAGATTAGATGCAGTAAAAGAGATGGTAAATGGAAAAGAAATTAGAGAAGAGGAATACAAAGAAGCTGAGGCACAGAAAGAAAAAAGAATCTCTAAGAATGAAAGAATATTGAGAGAACTGTGTGACCAATCCAAACGTAACAATATTCGTATTATAGGGGTACCAGAAGAAGAAGAGAGTGAAAAATGAATAGAAAGTGTCATTGAGGAGGTAATTACTGAAAACTTCCCCAATGTGAGGATGGAGATAGTCTTTCAGGCCATGGCAGTGCACAGATCTCCCAACACAAGGGACCCAAGGAAAACAACATCAAAACATATAATAATTAAAATGGCAAAGATCAAGGATAAAGGCAGACTTTTAAAAGCAGCTAGAAAGAGAAAAAAGATCACACACAAAGGAAAACCCATCAGGCTATCATCAGACTTCTCAACAGAAACCTTACAGGCCAGAAGGGAGTGGTAAGATATATGTAATGCAATGAAGCAGAAAGGCCTTGAACCAAGAATACTTTACCTAGCAAGGTAATCAATTAAATTCGAAGAAGGGATTAAACAACTTTCAGATAAGAAAAAGTTGAGAGAATTTATCTCCCACAAATCACCTCTACAGTGCATTTTGGAGGGACTATATATACTATAGATGGAAGTATTCCTAAGGCTAAATAGATGTCACCCAAGGGATAGACAAAGAGTACAGAATATGATTCATAACATACAAAGAATAGAGGGGGAGGAAAAAAAAAGAACCTTTAGGTTGTGTTTGTAATAGCACACGAAGTGAGTTAATTAGACTGTTAGATAGTAAGGGAATTACCCTTGAACCTTTGGTAACCGCAAATCTAAAGCCTGCAATGGCAATAAGTACATACCTATTGATAATCACCCGTAATGTAAATGGACTGAATGCACCAATCAAAAGACAGAATCACTGAATGGATAAAAAAACAAGACCCATCTATATGCTGCCTACAAGAGACTCACTTCAAACCGAAAGACATACACAGACTGAAAGTGAAGGGATGGAAAAAGATATTTCATGCAACTCACAGGGAGAAAAAAGCAGGAGTTGCAGTACTTGTAACAGACAAAATAGATTTCAAAACAAAGAAAGTAACAAGAGACAAAGAAGGACATTACATAATGATAAAGGGGTCAGTCCAACAAGAGGATATAACCATTATAAATATCTACGCACCCAACATAGGATCACCTACATATGTGAAACAAATACTAACAGAATTGAAGGGGAAAACAGAATGCAATGCATTTGTTTTAGGAGACTTCAACACACCACTCACTCCAAAGGACAGATCAGTCAAACAGAAAATAATTAAACAGACAGAGGCACTGAACAATGTATTAGAAAAGATGTACCTAACGGACATCTACAGAATGCTTAATCCAAAAGCAACAGGAAACACGTTCTTCTCAAGTGCACATGTAACATTTTCAAGAACAGATCATACACCAGGCCACAGAAAGAGCCTCAGTAAATTCAAAAAGACTGAAATTGTACCAACCAGCTTCTCAGATCACAAAGGTATGAAACTAGAAATAAATTACACAAAGAAAATGAAAAAGCCCACAAACACATGGAGGCTTAATAACATGCTCCTAAGTAATAAATGGTTCAATGATCAAATAAAAACAGAGATCAAGCAATATATGGAGACAAATAACAACAATTCAACACTGCAAAATGTGTGGGATTCAGCGAAGGCCATGTTTAGGGGGAAGTATACTGTAATACAAGCCTACCTCAGGGAAGAAGAACAATCCCAAATGAACAGCCTAAACTCACAATTAATGAAACTAGAAAAGGAAGAACAAATGATGCCCAAAGTCAGCAGAAGGAGGGACATAATAAAGACTAAAGCAGAAATAAATAAAATCGAAAAGAATATACAATAGAATCAATGAAAGCAGGAACTGTTTCTTCAAGAAAATAAACAAAATAGATAAACCCCTAGCCAGCCTTATCAAGTAAAAAAGAGAGCCTACACACATAAACAGAATCAGAAATGAAAAGGAAAAAATCACTACGGACACCACAGAAATACAAAGAAATACAAAGAATTATGAGTGGATACATCTGGTATGGTTTCACTTATATGAGCTATCTAGAGTAGTCAAAATCAGGGAAACAGAGAGTAGAAGGGTGGTTGTCAGGAGCTGGGAGAGAAGGAGAAATTTATCCAATGGTACAGAGTTTTAGTTTTGCAAGATGAAAAAGTCCTAAAGATCTGTTATATAACAATGTAAACACAGTTAACACCACTTGCACTTAGAAATGGCTAAGAGGGTAAGTTTTATGTTTTTTTACTACAATTAAAAAGTCACCAAAATTAATGCCCTAGCAGTCATACAGATGCAAAAATATTTCAAAAAACTAACCATGTCATTCCCTAAAATTCCTTTTCTCCCAATTAAAAAAAAAAGGATGTGCCTTGCTGGTGGAGAAGGTAGCTTCCCCAGCTACAATAAAACTGCAGGAACATGTTAAGGAAATAAGGAAAAAGAAGACAAATACTAAAACATGGCAGAAATACAAAGCAACTATTCAAACACAATCTAACTGTGTCATTCCACACACAATCCAGCCTAAGTCTTTAAGTAAAACCATATAAAGACTTCGTTACTCCAAGGATAAGGAAAAACTTCTCAACCTGCTTATCAGTCCAGAACCCTCTGGCCCTCCTCTCCAACCTCACCTCCCACCAGATTCTTCTCACTCCTCCTGTTCTACACATAGAGCTGTACCTTGAGTCCCCAGTCCTTTCCACGAACCCTGTCATTTGCCCTCGCTATTTGCTCTGTGCATCCTTTAGATCTTAGTTCAGATGTCACTTCTGTGACTTCCCTAAATCAAATACTTGTCACAGTTGCAGTTTTATATTCATGTGATTATTTGGTACCATCTGCAGAGGACAGGGACCATGTATGCATTCACTCTCTCCCATTTCCAATAACAAACACAGTGCCCAGTACCAAATAAGCACTCAAATACTTGTTGATTAACTAAATAAATGGGCATTGAACCTATAAGAAAGCAATAAAACATTTTAAGACATCTCCTTAAGAGTTTGTGCATCTTCACAAGTGAATCTTTGCAGGATGCCCAAAGCAATGGAGCCTAAAATCTTTAAAATCTTTATTCAACTCTATAAAAACACAGTCATTTTTAGATACCTATATAAATTTCTCTGGCCCTTCTATGTTTCTAGACAAATGATGACCATCAAAGGCTGATAAGTTAAACACACACACCTACACCACAGTAAAGCAGAACTACTAGTTGCTGAGTAACTGTTGTTTGGGTATTTCCTGATACAGTACCTGCTACCTGGGAAGCCCTCTGAAAATCGTTCTCAAATGAATAAAAAGCAACATTTCACAAGACTCTTAAGTGTGTTGAGAGTGTCTCATAGAATAGACAATCTGCAGAAGCAAAAAAATGAATTCCTAAGTGGCAAAGCCTCCTGCCAGTAGCCTCATTATTTTAGATCTCAAACAGGAAAAATAGTAGAGTTGTACTAAGAATGAAAGAAACAGACATTGCAATCAACTGACCTTAAAACTTTAAATAAAGACTACAAAATGTCACATGGGGCTATTTCTCAAACTCCTAAGAATATAAGAAACTACTTAGTATCCCCTGCCCCCTCCCATACAAATAAAAATTTTATCTGTACTTTAGGACAAACAAGAAAATCTATACTTTAAAGATACAATCCATAAACATATTCCTGAAAACTCCAGCCCATACTGATCTCTCCTCCCTGATTCTGCATTTAAACAAATGCTACTGTATACTTTTCTTAATAATTTAATGTATATTGTCTCTTATTCTTTCAAATGCATATAACAACTATTGGTGCTTAACGTATACTTACTGAACTAGATGGAATTATACTGTGTTGAATAACGGATTTTAATAGAGAAAACACCGACATTTTATTCCCAACTGTCTTATATCTTAAACCGAAAATTGCTCACATGACTCAGTTTTAGCTCCATCATCAATGGATTAAATATAAAGTCATTATCTAACAATGTTCAAATAAGGCTTAGAGCATTCTTGTGCTATTCCTTCAAACTCAGTTAAGGGAGGTGTGCAGTTCCAGGGTGTGTTTCAGATGTAAATAAGAGATATGAACAATGCCCGCACCTACTTTTCTTCAACATAGTAAATTTCATTTGACATTTTTCCCAAACCTAGTCAGTCCTAAGAAGAGTTCCTTCTATAGAAAATTGGAAGACAAAAACCTAAGCCTCGTAATACTTGACGTATATCACTAAAAACTAGAAAACTAATTCCCCACAAAAGGTAAGTTCAAAATGTTCAATTAGATGAGTCTCCATTATCAATAAAGCAGATGAAGTATATCATTCTGGGAAGCGCAAAACAGTAAGCAAGCATCTTGTAGTTGAGGGGCTGCATGCTATGCAAGAATCCTGAGGCGCCCGCATCCCTGCCAACCCCAAACATCCGTGTCAGGGCCCACGAGAACGCGCCCACAGGTGACCCGAGGCTGGGAAGCGTCCTCTCTAGTGCAACAGGCTCTCGTTTAATTCTGGCTTTGCTGGCGGGCCGGCGGGGCCTGGGCATGAGGAGCGAGGCCTGGGAGGCCGGGTCGGCCGGGAGCGGGGGCTGTGCGGTGGGCAAGGGCGAAGCCCGGGCAGGGGAGCGATGCCAGAGGCAGAGGGCGCTCGCCCGGGGCCGCCGGCGCAGGTGCTCCGCGAAGCGCAGCGAGGCCCCCTAGGCCGGGCCCGGGGTCGCTCACGGGGAAGGGTCGCGGTAGGGCGCGCGGGGCGAGGGCCGGTAAGCCTCACCGTTGCGCCCGGGAAGCCAGCTCCGCGGCGGTGCCGCAGTTGCTAAGGAGAATGCCCTTCCGGGTCACGGGCGCGGCGTCACAAGAACAACGGTGGCCGGCCGGGATCAAGAGCGACGCGCGTGTGAATGCGTGGCGGGGCTGTGATCGTCGCGGTCCCGCGGCCGTGGGGGCCGCGTCGCCGGGGGCAGAGCCGCCGCAGCTGCGCTGGGCTCGCCTCCCTTGGGGACCGGCGGTAGCCGGTGCCGCTGACCGATGCCCTCTGAGACAGCTTCCGGTTCGGCCCAGGCCCGCTACAGCCCCCCGCTCTCCGGCCAGCGACCCGCCCGCGCCCTCCCGCCCCTGCTCCTGGCCCCGCCCGGCCCGGGCCTCCAGCTTGTGTTGCGCTCGGTCGGCTGCCACCCCGCAGTCGCCGCCAACCCTGAGGCGTCCCATGCCTCTTCTAGCGCCCGGGTTGGCCGTGCAGGCCTTCCCTGTGACAGGGTTTTGCTCATTCGTTCATTTACGCCACGCTGCCCAAGGCTCGTGCGGAGCTGGCATTGGAGAGAGAGAGAGATGGGCAACCCAGGCGTGGTCCCCTGTCCTCAGAGTGCACAGGCTGCTGGGAGGCAGTGACCTGCACACTGGGATGGGCGAAGAAAAGGAAGCTGCGGCGGCCTGCCAGAGGGGGCCCCGAGATGGGCCGGGGAAAGCTGATGGAGACCCCCATCAAGTCAAAGGGTAGGGGGAGACTGTTTCAGGTAAGAGAGGAGTAGTCTGTTGAGACACCCACTGGTGGTCAGTGTAGCCTGCCCAGGAAAGTGCATAGAGAAGAGAGGATGGCTAAGGATGGAACCTAGGAAACATCAATATTGTAGGTGAAAATAGGAAGGTGATCCCCCAAAGAGCAGCCAAAATGTCCAACTTAAGGACCACTGAGGAGACAGCAGCAGAGGAAAGAATTCAGTAAAGGTGGTCAGTGTCAAATGCTATGGAGATCAAGTACCCAGTGATGACCATAGAAAAATCAAAACTCCAGGAATATGCGGTCAAAGTCGACGGTGGCTTGAGTCAGCCTAGTGAAGGAGTCCAACACTACATGCTCCACACTGAAACAAGAAAAAGATTACATTTATATAATGTTTTTTAAAGTATTTACAATTTTGAGGATTCCTCTACCAGTAACGGAGCTCCTTGAAAGTGGAAAATATATAACGTGGCATCTACAGCGCTGCCATACACAAAGGCCCCAGTGAATGGTTGTTTAAAGAGTAAATGAGCCATTGAGCCTTATTTTTTTAATGTGCACACAGGTCCCTTCAGAACCCTCAGCAAAACTGCCATGGTGGCAAATGTCTATTCAAGCTGTAGAGGACGAGAAAAGCCCAAGAGCAGGAGGCAGAGGGTGGAAGAGGGCTCAGGAGAGCCAGGTTTGGGGAATCCAGAAAAGAAACAAAAGGATTGAAGACATAGAAGCTGAGGTTTCAGCACCAGAAATGGGAGACCAAACCAAAGACACTAAAAATACTTAAAATCAGGAATAAAAGAGCAAGGACAACAGCAAAGGAAGGGCAGTTATTGTACATAAAGTCAACGGGCAGATCCCATTGCGGTCGGACAGCTGGCAGAAAGTTTTGTGCCAGGTCAGGGCTGAGTGGACTTTTCCCCACATCCTTTCAGTGGCATGAGCCCTGGGCTTCCTCGTGTGGACCAGAGGAAAACCACAACTCACCCTGAAGTGACTTGGGGTGAGAGGCATACCCACAAGTGTACCTGCAGTCCCTAATTCCAGTACATTCCTGTTATATCAAGTGTTACAATAAGATCTCCCAAATGAGAAATACTCTTCTCTGAGAGACTAAATCTGCCCACAATGGATGTAACCAGTGGTCTGTGGAATTAAACCAGGAAATGCAAAATGTGAGGCTGAACAGTAGAGGAACACCCAGCGCAGCAGCCAAAGGGGGCTTAGGCGTAACAGCAGCAAGGCAGTGCCAGAAGATGGCTACAATTTGATCAAAAGAAGCTAATTTAGCTTCAGCTGTTTTGTGAACAGAATGGACAGTCAACTTGTTAAACAGAAAAAGGAAGCCCCAAATATATGAAGTACAATAGATAAAGTCTATCCCCTATTCTCCTGTCAGCCTTGAATACAGAATTTAGTCTAAAGAACTATTCTGTTGAAGGGTCAAGGTGATTAATTAGTGTCAATTTGGGTGGGGTTTTGGGAATTTCAGTGGTGCCTCAAGAGATAGAAACTTATCAGCCATGAAGGGCATATTTCTAGGGAACTACAGGACACTGTGAGTGAACACTGTACTTCCAGGGTGGTGTGGGCATAGAAGCATCCAGCTCATGTGCTCTGACTTTGGTCTCTGGATGATGGATAACAAATTAATGTTGCAAAATGCTTTGAGGAATGCCCAGGGTATGAAAGGAGAACCGTGGTTACTATGCCCTGTTGGTGTATGAATGGAGCTATCCACCCCCTCCAGAAGAATTCCATTTTGGTATTGGGAGGGACTGTGTCTATTATGAAATCCAAGCTTTCCTGGGAGTTTAGGGATTGTGGACAACAGTAGTTGTTCCAGATCTTTTCAGGCCAAGCCTAACGCTGATTCCTAACTACTGCCACCGCCAACTTGGTCTTCTGTACTAACTACACCTAGTCACAAAGGCAAACACCCAGACTCATGGGAATCATCCTTGACTCCTCCACTACCCCTCATCACCACACCCACACCCCAACAGCCCAGTCAGAGCAAGTCCTGTAGATTGTCTCCCACCCAATTCCACTGCCACCAATTACAGGCAAAGGAAAGAATAACCAGCTAACTCAGGGTCACTAAGAAGTATTCATCTCAAAGTGAAGCGAAGGTGATAAAGGCTGTGTGTGCGTGTGTTCGCACTTCCACACAAGCAATGTAATAACCAAATACCACAAAAATTTCAAGGAGATGAGCTGAAATCAAGTTCATTCAACATGTTTTGATTGCCTTTCACATGCTAATTTACCTGGAAGGAAGGAAGAGATATTTAAAGAAGACTATTAAATAGACTAAAGAAAAAGTAAAGTAGAATTGAACATATTCCAAGAACCAAAACAAATGAGTGTCTGCTGGCCTGAGAATGCAGCCTTGGAAGGCCCCAGCTCCGGTGTGGGATGCATCAGAGCGACAAAGCGGGCTGAGCCTTGTCTTTGCCGGCAGGCTGGTGGTGCTGTAGGTGGAGAGTGCTGTGGGTGAGCAGAAAATGCGTCCCATCATCACCGCATCAATTGTACTTGACTTCCAACTGCAGCAGCTAGACCCACCCAGACCAGGGTTTCCAACTTGGCAATCTTTTCCTGATTATACTCTATTTTTGTTCTTGTCTCACTTTACACTCAATTTTTAAAAATGCATTTTTTTTCCATCTAACTTTATAGTATCATTTTAATCTTAGCAGTTTAAATATAAATCCTTTTGGAACATTCCCATTTTTTGCCTCCTACGTCTTAGCTTCCCTTAATTTCTTCTACCTTCTAGCTGCTGTTTAAAGCTTCATCTTTTTAAATATTTTTACTGTTAATTTCATCAGGATTTTATCAACAAATTATTAAATTTTTAGGTTTAATTTTCTATTTTCGAATTCTTTGCTCTTTTTATTTTTAGTTTCTTTTATTTTTTAATATATGCTACTTTAAATGTGAGTTTTAGAAAATTCTCTTCTACAGTGTTATTTTTCCTAAATTTTTTATTCCCACATTTTTAGCTTTAACTTTGTCTTAATTTTTATACTCTTATCATCCCATTTTAATATTTTCTTTGTCTGATCTTCCATCTTGCATATTTTTTCTAGTTTTAAACTTTCTCTTTTATTCACAGATAGATCTCAGCAGCTGCAAATGGCACCCAGCAATTAATACACTTTAAAAGAGAAAGAATAGCATTAAACTCACCAAACCCCAAACACTTGTACCTTTGTTTTGTTGGAGAATTCATGGCAGAGGGATTATAAGACAAGATTTTATTTTTCTCCTGTATCTTGCCACCTGCCAGATACCAGCCTCATAAGATGCTAGTATAAAGGAAAGGGTTCTCTCATGTTGAAATTCTGATACACCAGCAATGCAGTTTAGCACTTAAAAACCAAACTGCTGGGTTCAAATACAACTCCTCCAATTACTCACTGTGTGACCTTGGGCAAGTTACTCAACCTCTCTGTCTCCATTTTCCTACCTATAGAATGTGACTGATTATAGTAACACCTCCTAAGGTTGATATGAGATTTAAATGAGTCAATACATGTAAAGTATTTAGAACAGTGCTTGGCACATAGTTAATATATATGTTTGCTAGTATTATCATTTAATAAAAAGTTATCCTTAACAATAGTCACATACACATCACCTTGTAGGTGATGGTCCTGACGAGCAGCTTTTATTCTTTCTCTTGTAGCAGACACTGTGGCCTACAAGATCTTTGGCACTCTCTCTTCCTAAACAGAACCCTGACTTTTTTTTCCCCCCAGATAACAACATTCCTCCAAGAAGTCATGTGCAGGTGGGTGGGGGGTGGGGTGGTATTCTCTGTGTGTATGTGTGTGTGTGTGTGTTGGGGTGAGGGTGGGAACAATTTCAGTGAACAACTCCCTTTCCAGTACCCAATGCTGATTGAGTCTCTGCATTCTAGAATTCTAGAGAGAAAACATCTGATTGGTTCAGGCCAGCCTACGAATTGGGTTAGAACTCCACTGGAGCCAATAAGCTGAGCCAGGGAAACAGATTCACCTAGTAGAATTATGACTGCTCAGGTCTACACCTCCCTTAGGGTGTGTGTGTGTGTGTGTGTGGCTCACCATGAAGCCCACATGCATTTTGGAGGAGAAAGATGGCGGGGTGGAGGCAGGGCAAATTTCAACAAAAGGTGTACAGGGAGAGAGAAATTATAATCCCATGCTGTGTATAGGCTATCTGCACAGGAAAACAGGGATCTAAAATATCACCTGAAAAGCAGGGATCTAAAGTATAGTCATAAAGTGTGATGATCATATTTTAAAATATTTAATACTAAACTTTTCAGAATACCAAAAACAAACCAAGAGGACTTAATTAAGGAGGATTTGGAGAGAGTGAATGACAAAAAAAATTATGAATCTATTTATGAGAAAAAAAATTTTTTTAATTAAAAGCAGATATAAAGAAATGAGCATGGTCTGTTTTTTGTTGGGTAAGTGAAAACAGTAAAACAGTAGGATATTGGATTGTTCAGAAAATGTTACGTTTGATCTCATTTCTAAATGAACCAAAAAACATCATTCAATAGAAATCCTTCTATTAAGTTGAAGAGAAAGCAAAGAATTTTATTTACTGAGGAAAAATACAGACTTTTTTTGTAAATGTGGCATAATTACAACAATTATAAGATGACATGTAAATGGACTAAATTCTCCTATTTAAAAAACAGAATCATAGACTATTAAAATGGCAAAATCCACACCTATGGATCTTATAAAAAAACACATTTAAAGAAAAGGGAGGTAGAATAATTTAAAAACCTGGCTCAGATAAATCATGCTTGCACGAAAGCAAGTGAAGCGGGTGCCAGCTTGACTGATTAGGTTATGTTCATCCCAGGGCATACCTGGGCATGCCCAGGACACCAGTGGCAGGACACACTGGAGGTCTCTGCATGAGAAGCCAGCATTCTAGGACAGAATCCCTTCTTCAGGCAAAGCCAAAGAGAGGTCCAAGGACAGGAGGTCAGTACGATGGTGTGTACTGCAGGGAGGCTGCAGGGAGAGGGGGTGCCCTCAACACAAGCTGTTTGGCCTAAGGCTGCCCTGCTCTGCAGATTTTCAACAGAACGGGTCACCAGCAGGGGAAGGGTGCTGTTGGAGCATGTTGGTATAAACTCTCCACAATGCTCCATTCATTGGCCCTACACACAGGCTCTGCCCCAGCCCACTGAGGGATCATGGGCAAGTCCCTGCACCTCAGGGGCCTCCATTTCTTCTACAAAAGAAGGCTATTGGAGGAACTGATCCAAAGAGGAAAAATTGGGAAATAAAGAGCTTTCTCAAGTGTATATCAAGCTTTCTCACAAGACAATCACAGTTGTGAAGGTAGATATTTGCAATAGATACACACAGATTTTACACATTTCTCAGACTTCCGTACAATAAAATTGGAGGGAAAGCCAATACACCGCTCACTTGTACATGACCAGGCAAGAACAGAAGAAAGACTCTGTGATCGAACAATTCAGCTGAAAAGACAACACCAAATATGGGGAAGCTATTCTGAAGACAACCAAAAACAAGATTCCATGTACCCAGTTAAACCTGTATTGGAGGAACTTTTGTATCTTTCTTGCCTGTGTTAATAGGAAAGCAAAAGGGAAAAATAATTAACTAAATCTACACCTAAAGTTTTTAAAGATATGAGGAACAAATTTAAAAGTTAAAGCAATAAATATGAAATCAATTACATTTAAAAATAAGAGACTATCTGTTTAATATCCAAAACTGAGATAAAAAAATTAACTAATGTAATATTTACAAAATATTAGGACAGCCAGTTAAACACCCAAGAGAATTTAAGAGAAACAAAATTCAAAAGACTGTATAAACACCAAAAAAGTTTCCATTATTAGGAGATACTAATCAAAGTTAAACTCTAATGAGTTTTAAATATTAAAGGAAATTTACAATTTTCAGAACAACTAACACAAGAAGAAAAGGAAACTCAGAACAAGGAAAGATGAGCAAAAGGGAAAGGTCAACGAAGAAATGTGGAAATGTGAAAGACTTACTCAGATTTGAAGGTTAATTTTTAGAAAAAAAGCACCTAGAGTTGGTAGTGTTGACATTAACACTTCCAATACCAAATAAACAAAAAACAAATCCATTTTGTGAGACTAATATGGTCCTTTCCCTCTCACTTGTAATGATAAAGATTATGATACAAAAAAGTTTCAAAAAATGTTGCCACTTTTGCACAGGAATTCTCATTCTGTTTCTAACAGAAACTTTGTTTTCTATACAGTTACATTGCACCGTTGCAGATTGTGCAATGATTTTACATCCCTTCTTCTTTTATAAGTTGAAGCTTCGTATTTTCCATGTTTATTTTATGATTTTCTTTTACTTTTTTTCTTTATTATACACATGAGAAGTAAGTGTTCATTGAAAACATGAATTTAGGTAATATACTTGATTATGAAGAAGCAACTGAAAAATTATGTGTCATTCCACCACCCAGGGTGAGAGACAGACAGACGTGGGAATTTGGACTGAAACATACTTTTTTGAAATTTTTCAATTAAGATATAATCCACATAACATACAATTCACCATTTTAAAGTGTACAGTTCAGTGGGTTATCATATAGCCACAATATTCTGCAATCGCTGCCAGAGTTTCCCATATTGAAACATTAAAACATTTCATCACACCTACAAGAAACCCCACACCCAATAGCAGCCACTTCCATTTCCCTCACATCCTCCCAGACCTAGGCCACCACCAGTCTGCTTTCTGTCTTTATGAATTTCCCCACTCTGGACATTTTATATAAATGGAATCAGAAAATACGGGGTTCCTTGGGACTGGTTTCTTTCATTTAGTATGTTTTCAAGTTTCATCCATGTTGTAGCATGAATCAGTACTTCATTCCTTTCTGTGGTTAAAAAATATTCTGTTGTATGTATATCCCACATTTTGTTTATCTATTCATCAGTGGACATTTGGGTTATTTCCACTTTTTGGCTATTATGAATAATGCTGCTATTAACATTTAAGTACAAGTTTTTGTATGAACATATGTTTTCAATTCTTTGGGGTATATACATAGGAGTGCAATTGCTAGGTCATATGGGCTGGATCCTATGATAACTGTGCCATTTTACATTTCCACCAGTAATGTATGAAGGTTCCAATTTCTCCACAACCTTGACAACATTTGTTTTTTTCCATTTTTTTGTTACAGCCATTCTAATGGAGTAACATTTCATCTAGTAGGGCAATATCTCATTGTTTTCAACTTGTCTTTCTCTGTGGCTATTGGTACATCTTTTCCTGTGTATATTGATCATTTGTTTGTCTTTTTTGGAGAAGTGCCTTTTCAAGTCCTTTGCCCATTTTTTAATTGGGTTGCCTTTTATTGTTGACTTGTAAGAATTTTCTATCTATTCTACATATTAGGCCCTTGCCAAATACAGAATTTGCAAATATTTTCTCCCACTTTGTGAGCTATCTTTTTACTATCTTAATAATGTCCTTTGATGAAAAAAAGTTTAATTTTCATGAAGTCCACATTATCTATTTTTTTCTTTGGTTGCTGTGCTTCAGGTACCATACCATAAAACTGTTAAACTAATCCAAGGTCATAAAGATTTTTACCTGTTTTCTTCTATGAATTTTGTAGTTTTAGCTCTTATTTAGATCCTTGATCCATTTTGGGTTAATTTTTGTATATGGTATGAGGCAGGTATTGAACTTTACTCTTTATATGTGATTATCCAGTTGTCCCAGCACCATTTGTTAAAAAAAAATATTCTTTTCCCATTGAATGATCTTGTCACCCTTGTCAAAATCAACTGACCATAGATATATGGGTTTATTTCTGGACTCTCAATTCTATGCCATTGATCTATATGTCTATCTTTATGCCAATGCCACATGTAGGTTTTGAAACTGAAAAGTGTAGAGTCCTCCAGATGAAGTATACTTTAACATTGTTTTGTAACTTTTTCACTTCAATATGTCAAGAAATATAATTCTATAGCATCAATTTAAATAAATATTTAGTATATGACATTATGAATTTTTCATTAGTTGACCGATATTATACCATTTTGTTAGATACATAATTCCCAATCTTTTGTTATTATAAGAAATGTTTAATAAACATCCATGCAACTAAATCTCTGCACATGCATTATTCCCTTTGAAAAAATATTTTCATTTATTAATTTCAGACTTTAATATTCCATAAGTTTATGTACAATAATTTCATTCAGTGTTTAAACATTATAAGTAATAGTGCAATATCATTTTTGTATATTTAGTTAATCTCCTTTTGGATAATTTCCATAGATAAAATATACTAACATGAGATTCCTCAAAAAGTATAAACATTTTTATGACAATTGACATATATCCAATATATATTCCAAATATATATATCAATTTAATGCTGCCCTAAAGCAATGTATATGAATTTCACTGTAACTATGTCTGAATTGGGTATTATACTTTTTTTTAAAACTACTTCAGTGATTGAAAATAGTGCTTCATTTATGTTTTAATTACATTTGTATGATTACTGAAGATGTTTTGACTCTCTTGGATGTATAAATGTATTTTCTTCTGAATATAACCTTTTGCTGTGACTTTAATCAATTCTCTCTTAATGCCTTCAATCCAGCTAATTTGTAAAGTCTCTCATTAAAGTATAATATTAACTGTTTTTTGTCATTCCTGCTGTAAACAATTCCCTGTCCATTTTTGCCTCAGTTCTTTTTCAAGTAAAGAATGGAACAG